ATATATATATATATATATTATATATATGTAATATGTAACATATGTCTTTTTGATAATACTTGTAATAATTGCTTATTACTATATTTTTCAAGGATTGGACGTTGTGGGTATAGAATTGGATAGTTCTTGGTGGAACAGCAAATATTCTCCACCACAATTCTTAAAAAATATTATCTTCATTGAGGACAATTCAATAAATTTTCAAGTGCCAAAACGATATGCGATGTTATTTTGCTACTTTAATAACTGTACAGCGTTCTGTAATTATATAGAAAATTACAAAGGTAATTTAATTTTTGTTATTGGACCTGCTCAAGGGAATAATTGTACAACAGACCCATTGCCATTTGATGAAAAATTTAGAAAATATAATTGGAAGTTAATAAAGCAGAAAAAACTTGTGTGTTCCAACAACTGCATTACTGCATACAGTAATAAATAATAAAACTTACAATGTGTTTAAATAGAGAATTAAAATAATGCATTTTGTACAATATTATTATGTGCAATTGTAAAAGATTTTTTATATAATCTATGGATTTGATTTTTTGGTTACATCTTTTATATTATTTTTTTTGGTTGCCATCTTTCCTTAAATTTTAAACGCATAAATACATATTATTTAGTTTAAAATATAGGAAGTATAAAAACAATAATCATCTTAAAGAATAAATTTATTAACTAATATAGTTTATGAATATAATATATTTTATGATCAAATCTGCGTTATTCTTTATTAAGAAAAAATAATTTATGTTATTAACACAATTACTTTAATAACTTTTCTTAATTGATGTAAACAACACATTTATCTCTGCAATTAAAAATCTGTTTAAATATTTGAGATACTTTTTGTACAAGGTCTGTTCATAATTCCCTGTTCATATATTTAAAGTGTAATTATTAACTTTAAATAGCAAAATTCGACGTAATTGCAAAATTTTATTTACAATAATATTGTAAATAAGATACTTTACTTAAGATACTTTAAAAAATAAATTTTAGATGAATTTGATTTCATTCTTGTAAAAAGACCCGGAAAATAAGTATTATACATATATGTACATTATACAATACAATCACAAGCTATTATATAATTATAACAAAATCAGAATTTGTATTCAGTAAGATTTATAAGGCCAATAATGTCAGTAAAATAGATTACTCTCAAATTGAAATTCAAATTAGATCCAAATCCATTTAATATATGTATAGTTAAATATATAAAAAAATTTGAAGATAGACTTATGCAATTGCGAAAAATGCATACCAAAATTGCTTCCAGAAATGAAAATAGTGTTAAAAAATATCAATAGAGAAGGAAAGTATTTCAAAGAGACAAAAAAAGTTGTAAGCTTCAACAAATTATAAAGACAAAGTTCATCAAGCTTACAACTTTTTTTGTCTCTTTGAAATACTTTCCTTCTCTATTGATATTTTTTAACGATATTTTCATTTCTGAAAGCAATTTTGGTATGCATTTTTCGCAATTGCATAAGTTTATCTTCGAATTTTTTTATATATTTAATTATACATATATTAAATAGATTTGGATCTAATTTGAATTTCAATTTGAGAGTAATCTATTTTAATGACATTATTGGTCTTATAAATCTTACTGAATACAAATTCTGATTTTGTTATAATTATATAATAGCTTGTGATTGTATTGTACAATGTACATATGCATAATACTTATTTTCCGAGTCTTTTTACAAGAATGAAATCAAATTCGTCTAAAATTTATTTTTTAAAGTACCTTAAGTAAAATATCTTATTTACAATATTATTGTAAATAAAATTTTGCAATTACGTAGAATTTTGATATTTAAAGTTAATAATTACACTTGGATAGTTCATTAAATATAATTTATTATTTATATATATGTATAAATACATAGATATATACAGACTTACGTAATTTATTTTACGTGTAGATACTTTGTAAACAGGACAGGACAGATGTAATCATAATCGGACAGCATTGTATATTAAACTTGGTTATCCATTTTTTAAGAAATTAGAAACGTAAAGTATAATTTTCATATTCATATGATACTTTAAAGAACTTTATTTAAGTCATGATTTGAAGTACAAATAAACATGAAATTATATAATTTTCTAAATTTCAAAAGCTCGCGCATTTTGAATTGCAATGTATGGATGCTTGATCGGTATATTCCGACTTCGATTTCAAATCGATTAATTTCGATTCGATTCGATTCGATTTATCATATAGGAGGTGGATTTCAGAGTTTTCAGACCCGATTAGTCTGTTAATCTGTTCCGAGATTTATTTTATATTTATGGAGTAACAATGTCGACGGACAAAGATATTGAATCGAAAAAAGACACAGAAGGCAAAAATAAAGATAAAATCTATTGTACATTTTGCCCTTCAAAAATGCTCAATGCTGGAACTGCCAGATTAATAAACATGGACGTGAGTATTAGCACATGTAGTAAGGTAATAATGAAGAGATTTCTCTCATGTACGATTCGTTATTTGATTGTTACTTATTGCGCATTACTAATTTAATTATCATAGATATTGTTGTATATTAATATTTTTAGCGCATTATTATGCTTTATATTGGACGCCGAAGATTTATAACCTAAAAGTCATATTGTGCATTGTGTGTGCATTTAACACTTTATAAATTTTGAATTTATGGATTCGTATTCAGAACCTTCTTTTATCGATAAATGCGAACTTTTATCTCTGCAATTCTATAGTATACGTAACGTAAATTGCAATATGTTAACGCTCTAACATCGTTGTCAGCACCTTTTGAATATGGACCATAAAGTTACAAAGCTACAGAGTTTTTAAATTTGTTTCCAAAAATTGTTATAATGATTCAATTTAATATTTGTTTATTTAATTAATTATTGAATTAACAATTGTTTATTTAAATGAATATAAATAATAAGTATAAAAATTTTTTATTGCAGTTTGCGCTACCTTACATCCATAGTAGAGCAGAAGACAAGGCTAATCAGTCAGAAACAATTTCTGATTACTGGTTAATAGAAGATATGTATACTTTCGAAAATATTGGTGTATCACACACTGTAGGCAACGTCAAATATTTAGCTTGTGCAGATTGTGAGAGAGGTCCAGTGGGTTGGCATGATCTGTCCACCAAAAAGTCGTATATTGCATTATGTAGAGTAAAATATGAATGAATAGAAATAAGAGAGCTTATTAATAAAATAATTTTATAATTTTATATGTATAAATATACGTGTGCGCCCCCACATACATACATACATAAAAGCACAAGTGTACAGGAAGATATGCAGATATAAAACAATATTTATGATATGTGCTTTATATATCTGTACATATAAAAACATCATTTTTTATTTAGATTTTATTCAAATAAATTTGTATTTTTTTAATAAAATGACTAAATAATTTCTTTATTGTAATTTCTTTATATTAAGAAAAAAACTTGTTATACAAAAACAACTCACAAAATGCTTTCAATGTCAACAGTCAATGATACTATCTAATAAAATAAAATTATGTTGATTTCATGTTCAATCTCAGAAATTATATCAATGTTACACAGGAATAATAATTTAATAAAAAATAAGATATAATTTGTTGTTTTAATTGACAATTTAATATTTAATCACGATATGTTACATACTGCAGCTAATGCATCAGATAATTAATCTTTAATATAATGTAACGATTTAATAAATTCTATTTACTATTAAAAAATTTGTTTACATTTGTGTGACTCGTTATGTCGTTTATGTGCCAAGTATCGTAAACAGGTTATACATTACATATAATTAACATAATGATACGTGAGATGTTATATTCGCGTGAATAACATTTATATAACTTCTAGATGCTAGGGCTTTTGGATGCGATGTATATATATATATGTATATATATATATATATCTTTTATATATATATATATATATATATATATATATAAAAGAGTACTAAAAAATTGGATAGGTCTCGCGGTTTGATTCTGCTTATTTGGTTCTGCTAGCTTGATAGAGGTAAATTGTAGAACCAAATGAGCAGAATCAAACCGGACCTATCCAATTTTTTAGTACTCAATTTGTACTAATTTGTACCACCATTAAAAATTTTGTACCTCGTACAGTTTTGAAGAAAAACATGGCGCTGCTACCTTTATATTAAGCTAGCAGGACCACAAAAAAAAAATTATAAAAAATAAATAAATAAAAGCTTGTATAATTAGTACTGATTTTGTACTAATATGTACCACATAAAATAAATTATTATTTCAAACTTAATTAATATAATCATTACCTTATAATATATCTTTTCTTTCAATTTCCTTTAAGAGTCAAAACTCTTTTCTTTCAGCAAAATCAAAC